CTGGGCCCTTCCCAGTGCTCCCAGTGCCCTCACAGTGCCTTCCCACCGCCCTCCCAGTGCTCCCAGTGTTCTCAGTGCCTTCCCTTGGCCCTTCCCAGTGCTTCCAGTGCTCCCAGTACCTTCCCTGGGCCCTTCCCAGTGCTCCCAGTGCTCCTAGTGCTCCCAGTGCCTTTTCTGGGCCCTTCCCAGTGCTCCCAGTACCTTCCCACGACCCTTCCAGTGCCTTTTCTGGGCCCTTCCCAGTGCTCCCAGTGCCTTCCCACTGTCCTTCCAGTGCTCCGAGTGCCTTCCCAGTGCCTTCCCAGTGTTCCCAGTGCCCTCCCAGAGCCTTCCCAGGACTCTTCCCAGTGCTCCCAGTGCTCCGAGTGCCTTCCCATTGTCCTCCCAGTGCTCCCAGTGCCTTCCCAGTGCCCTTCCCAGTGATCCTAGTGCTCCCAGTGCCTTCCTAGTGCTTCCACTGCCCTCCTAGTGCTTCCAGTGCCCTCCCAGTGCCTTCCCAGTGCCCTTCCCAGTGCTTCTAGTGCCCTCCCAGTGCTCCTCCCAGTTCTCCCAGTGCCCTCCCAGTGCTCCCAATGCCCCTCCCAGCACTCCCAGTGCTCCCAGTGCCTTTCCAGTGCCCCTCCCAGTGCTCCCAGTGCCCTCTTAGGGCTCCCAGCACCCTCTCCGTCCCTCTCAGGACTCCCAGCGCCCTTCCCAGAGCCCTTCCCAGTGCTCCCACTGCCCCTCCCACTGCCTCCCAGTGCCATCCCAGTGCCCTCCCAGCACCCCCCCCCGGGCTCCCAGTGCCCCCCACTGCCATCCCAGTGCCATCCCAGTACACCCCACTGCCCTCCTAGTGTCCCCTGTGGCCCTCCCAGTGCTCCCAGGGCTCTGTTCTGGCATGTCCCCGCGGGTGTCCCCAGGGTGTGCCTGTCCCAGGGGTGCCCAGTCCCTTGGCATCCTCAGGGGGGGTCCCCATCCCATGGGCTCCCCATCCTGTGGGTGCCCCATCCCCAGGATGTCCCCACCCCTTGAGTGCCCCAT